CCCTGTTCTCCCTGCTGCTCTTCCTCCTGGCCTCAGTGTTTCCCTGCCTTGCTTTGACTCAGGGTCACGCTCCCCAGGAGGGGTCTGGTGGGCCAGGGAGGGTCCCCACTTCAGTTTTTTGGGAGGTGACCCTCCAGGCCAGCACCAGGAAGCCAAGCATCCCTCCTCCCCACCTGCAGGCATTGAGAAGTTCAAGGGCCACTACCTCCACAGCCGAGACTACAAGGATGCCCAGATTTTCACGGACAAGAGGGTTGTTGTCATTGGGATTGGGAATTCGGGGTCAGACCTGGCCGTGGAGATCAGCCAAACGGCCAAGCAGGTGAGCAGCAGGAGCAGGGTCCCGGTCAGCAGGGCAGCCCCCCGTGGGACACTGCCAGCTCCACGAGGACACCAGGACCAAGGCGCTGGTACGGCCGCCGCTCCTGGCACTCACTGCATTCGGCAGGGCCTGCACCCGGCAATCCCAGTTGCCAGGCAGCAGTGGCAGCCAAGACTCAATCCCATAAGTATACCCCGATTTCCATTCCCAAGCCCTGGGCTGGGGCTGCCTCTGTGGCTCTTCCCTACCTCTCCCTGCCAGGTGCCCACCCCTGGATCCCTCTGCCCTCTGGGTCTTCACCCAGCACCCAGGCACCGTGAAAAGGAGCAATCCCAGGGCAAGGACGTGCCCCCCCCTTGGGCAGCCTCCCAGCAACATCACAGCCTTCAGGACATGATGCTTCTTTCCTCACCCAGGTCTTCCTTAGCACCCGCCGGGGTGCGTGGATCCTCAACCGTGTTGGAAAAAAGGGCTATCCCATCGACACCATCTTCACCACGCGCATGAAGACGTTCCTGAAGAACCTGCTGAGCACATCCATGGTGAGCGACTTCGCAGAGAAGGAGCTGAACGCGAGGTTTGACCACTCGCACTATGGCCTGAAGCCAAACCACAGGTACCAGCAAAAGCTCCCCCCGCCCAGGAGAGGACCCCTCAGCTCCCTCCATGTCCAGCCCTGCTTGGCCATTCCCATACTCCCTGTGTCCAGGCTGGGGCTGAGGCACAAGCCCTGAAAACCCACTTAAAAGTTGTGGTGTGCCCAGGCAGTGCTTGAGGGAGCCACCACTGCCCCTTCTGGGGACCCCTGGTGACACCAGTGCAGTAGCAGCAGCTGAGCATGCCTGGGGGGCCAGCCCCAGTGGTGATGAGCATCCTCAGGGCTGAGCATCCCTGGGGACGAGCATCCTCAGAGCAGGGAGCAGTGGCTGGAGCAGGACACAGAGCAGAGACTCTACCCCAGCACCCTGACGGCTGCTTGTGCCTTCCAGGGTCATTGACCAGCACCCGACCATCAACGACGACCTGCCCAACCGCATCATTTCAGGCAGGGTGCTGGTGAAGCCAAACGTCCAGGAGTTCACGGAGACATCTGCCATCTTTGAGGACGGCACCAAGGAAGATATTGACGCCGTGGTCTTTGCCACAGGATACAGCTTCTCCTTCCCCTTCCTCGAGGGCTGTGTGAAGGTGGTGGAGAACCAGATCTCCCTCTACCAATTCATGTTCCCCCCCACCATGGAGAAGCCGACGCTGGCTTTCATCGGCCTCATCCAGCCTCTTGGTGCCATCATGCCCATCTCTGAGCTCCAGTGTCGCTGGGCCACCCGTGTCTTCAAGGGTAAGCGAGGCATGGTGGGGGAACACAGCGAGGCTCCCTTGGCCGCGGCAAGGCTGAGTCGTTCAGCTGGCGGCGTCCTCTCACACACTGTCTCCCTCCACTCACCTTTGTTGTCCTCCTTTTGCTTATTCATAGGGACAAAACCCAGCATTGCATTTTGCAAGGAGCCTTGTGCTCATCCTCTCTTGCGGGGGCCACTAACAGACCCCGTTGCCTGCAAACCACCTTCTCCCTCTCCTTTCCTGCTGTTACTTTCTCCATCTGTGCCTCCTGCTTTGCTCCTGCCGTGGTGGCACATCACCGGGGTGCAGCACCCCCATGCTGTGGCTCATCTTCCCTAGGGCTGAACAAGCTGCCCCCACGGCACGACATGGAGGCTGACATCAAGCAGAAGAAAGAAGCGATGGCGAAGCGGTAAGACGTCCCTGGGAACAGAGAAGGGGCTGGTTTGGGCATGGCTGCTCGTGGGCACCTGTCCGGTCCTGTGGCTGCATCTCAACACATTTGGCTGTGCCAACAGACAGCAGGGATGCACTTGACCATATTACCCCCACCCCACTGATCCGTCCCAATGGGGATCCATCCAATACCACCTCGCTGGTGCGCGGGGCACC